GGGTTACCTAGTCATTCTGGGTCATGTCACAAAGTTCATGCTTTTATGAAGCACTTCAAAATGTAGCACAACTCTGGACTTTTTTTTTAAGGCCAATATTGTATCCATATTTCCTAGAATTACTTTGCTCTTTCAATGGTATGTTTGATTGGGTTTTACGTCACACCAACACAGTATAAGTCATTTTGCGATGTTCAAGCTGTACTGGTGGAGGAAGACCTCAGGTTTCAGGCACGAACAAGCACCTGAGTAGAACCACCGATGTTCTGTAAGCTAACTGGATAGCTTCCTTACATGAGAGAATCCAAAGTCCTTGTAGGGATTCTAACCCACAATGGTGAGTGGCAAGTGGTTTGAAGTCAACGACCTTAACCACTTGGCCATGGATGCCCTCTTAATGGTATGTAAATGATATCGGAATATATAGACCTTGGGTTCAAATGATGTATTTCAGGTAAGTGTTTTTGGTAATTGAACTACCAACATCTGTAGAAACTTGCTGGATAGACTCACATGAAAGATTCATTGTTCAGAGAGGAATTTCAATGAAAGTCAAAGACAATACTGAATGGATGGATACATGCAGGCATGAACCAGTATTATCACTGCACAATCTGTTTCATCCCTAATACCATGCTAAATATCTTAAATAGATTTGTCCATATTTCAATTCGTCATGTGCAGGTTGATCTTGGTCTGCACCGGTGAAAGTGCCATTAAAAAGGTAAGGTTAAATAAAATAATGTGTGTAAAGGTTTGCACCAGGTCATCATTAAACTTGTATATTGCAAAACCACCAGATTTCTCATGCAAACAGTCAAGCACTAAAATTATGAACTCTTAGAAAACTTTTTTTCATACAGTGAAATAAAAGGTAGGGTTAGGTATTTGCAAAAGAAAAATCATATTGCGATTATTGTGATATATATGTAAATGTGAACTATCTAAATTGCTTCAAAATCACATGTAAGACCTACAGAACCTTGACATAAGAGTTTATCATTTAGTATTACCATATGTCCTGATGAATGGTACATGAAAGGTCCTTTTATAAAAGACTTCGCACTGTGTTAAAAGTGGCATTGTAAAATTAATGAAGGAGTTTAAACAACTTAATGTTAGTGGAATTTGAAGTCAAGCTATAGTTCGATATTTTATATTGCAATAAAATATTGCTGGAATACTGGAATATAATATTGCCAGATAAAAAAATGCGACATAATATTGTCAGATAAAACATTGCTATAAATCCCACTCCTAATCAAAGACAAATCTGAAAAAAAGAAGTTGAGAAAATTACAATTCACTGCCAATGACATTCTGATCAATTAAGATGAAAGTGCACAATGTTTCTGTTAAAGACAGTGGAAAACAATTTACAAGCAATCTGCATTTTCTTTGAAAAAAATATTTATTTTTTGTTGTAATGGTGCCTTGATTTAATTTTTTTGTTGCATTCAATCTGCAGAAAGAATTAACATTCCAGTCATGTTAAATGCAGCTAGCTGAAACAAAAAAAAAGCAACAAAATAATGTGCATTTTCACTTTTCTGAGCAGCATTTGTGCAAATTTATTCTAAAAGCCAGTGCTTGTTTTTCTACTTTGGAGGATGCATGCATAAAAGCTAAGTCTAGCAATTTTTTTCAGTGTAACATTATCATTATTAGAGATCATATTGAATGAGTGTAAGTTCAATACTGAATTTATTGAACAAGTCTAACGAGTTCAATAAATTCAGTAATGAACCGACACGAATATAAAATTTTAAATGATCACATACCCAAAATAAAGACCATGTTAAGTAAAAATGAATCATTTTTTATTGAAGCTTTTTATAGTGTAAGCCTAACATTTAATGCATCTTTACACCATGTCTATATATATAGCAAATAACATCACATCAAAATACATGCACCGCCGTGCAAAACATTTTTTACTGAGCTGCAAAAGCGGCATGGGTATGTGATAAAGGCCTTTATGTCACTAGTATGAACCTTAGCAAGACACTATAGATCTAAGTACATGTATTTTGATATTGAAATACTGAACACCTCAAAATATGTACATCTGGCCATTCATATTGCATAATTACACAAAATACACAAATTCATTCTGGCAAAAGTTGTCTTATGAAAACAAAAAAAACATTTCCAAACCAAGCAAATCACTTAGAAATATAAACTCAAATGAGTAGTGATGATACACCCAATCATCACAAAATTGTTGGAGTTTGTGGATTTTACAATACCTTTAGGATTGCATGCACAAATGCTGTAACTCAATAATCTTAAATAAAGAATTTAAGCCAGAATTGTGATGAACCCTTTACCTATCAATCACTATGCCATGCTTAAGACACTGTGACATTTATTGACATTCTCTAGGAACATTTATCTCATTTTCAGAGTAAATTTTCAAAGTCACTAAAGCCTGCAATACAGCTGTCAGCAGCTCCAAATGGAAGCCATGTCAAAAAAAACTCCTTCTGCTTCTGCGTGTCAAGGTACTTCAGAATTAATTTACACTGGCACCCTCATATCAACATGCTTTCACTATATGTATGAACATATATCACATATTTTATCAACAAACCAGACATATAGCTTCTGTTCATTTTTAAAATCAAGAGAAAAAAAGAGAGAGTATATGATCCTATCAACATTTTTGCTGCATTATCTGTAACAATTTACTTTTTTATGTACCGGTAGTAAAAAAAAGATGCTTGTTTATTTTAATGAATAGTTTGCACTTATTTTTGTACACAATGTATGGTAACAAAATACATGTAAAACTAAAAGTTAAAAATCCTGGATCCATGTTCACTAAGAAAAGATCAGGATCAAATCTTTAAGTGAATGGGTAGTGAGGGGGGACTGAGTATCAAAAGGCCAGTCTAGTGGTTATTGTCATTATTTATGCCTTGTTTAGTGGGTTAGAATCCTACCATATTGACAATTTAATTTTTCTAATATTGTGAAGATATTCAGCTAGATTATATTAAGTTAAATACTCTGGCATTGGTTTGTATGTGTAATACTGACTGAAAACCTTTTTTTCTGTATTTAAATTACTAACATTTTTTAAGATATTGTATTACAAAACATTATTAGTAAAATACCTGAGTAAATGCAGTTGAAAGAATTTCATTTGACTCTGAAAGGGAGATTTATAATAGATAAATATGTACCTGATTAGGTATTTAAAATTCTTTTCCTTTCTAAATCAAAAGATTTATTTCAACCCAGCAGTCTTCATTTCATGAATGTATTACCGTAGTAACATCAGACAGTCTCTTCTGCCTGAAAGAAGACAAATGAACAACTTGATTTTATAACCCATCAGGAGACAGTTTTTGTTAGAAACCACACAGAAATAATAGAAATAGATAAACAAAAAATGTATGATATATCATATAGAAGAAAGCTGATTTTCAAGCTAGACTGTATACATAACAAGTAAAAAACAGTTTAGGTTTGTTTTTTTTATTCATTAATTTTTTTGTATATCTGAAAGTCTTAATTTGTTTGAATAATGTTTACAGATTGTAATTTACTGTTGAAAATGCTGCCTGGCAATAGCACATAATGATTACAAGTGATCCTGTTGCTTTTGTCCAAGTTATAACCCATCTCTAGCACAACTCACGCTGCCTCCCCCGACCTCACTTTAGTCCATACCCAACATAAAACTTTTACAGCAGTGGATGACAAATGACATAAATATTAAATTAAATGCAGGAGCAACATTTTTTTCAATTGAACTCTTTGTATCTAATTAAATAATAGTACACACAAATCTAATAGGAAATCTAAACTGGGAAAAAATCTTTGATATTTTATACCTTGACATCCAATTGCAAAAGAAACCGTACATTAAAGAAGCATTCTAGTATTTCACACGTGTATCATCTTTATTAATAAACCAATTAAGATCAAATTCTGTCAGGTATCTAGTGTTACTAATGCAGACCCCTGTATCTCTTTGATGCTAGGGTACAAGATATCATAGTAATTAATGCAGCCATATGGCAGTAAAGTGTGAGAAAGTCATGTTGATAAACATTGTTAATGCACACAGCAGGTAATTCTACATAATGACAGGAAAACACTGCTGGCAACTGTAAACAAAGAAATATACAGATAAACCTGTGTAACATGAACTCTTACAATCATCAAGAGCATTATTACAGATATACATGTGTAATATGAACATCATATGTTTCATGAGTACAGATCATAGACATGTTAAATTGCATATTACATTATTACAGAGAGACCTGTGTAATGTGAACATGGTATATAATATCAGTACAGGTGTACAGATAGACATGTCTAATATGAACTGTCACAACCATCATACAATATTATTAAAAGGTAGACCTGTATACTGGCAATATAAACATGGTATATTACATTAGTACAGGTAGACCTGTGCAACATGAACTGTCACAACCATCAAGAAATATAGTATGTAGCATTATAACATTTATAGTCTAGTAAAAATAAAATATGACCCAGAACTAATTGCAAAAGTTTTGAATCTTTGTTCATTGAATAGGTCTGGTATATGTATATGTCAGAAAAAAAGTTGCACATATAACTCTGTGCACAACTTTTTTTACAAGCGTTCAAAGTTCACGAATTTTAACTTTATATTTTAAGACCCAAACTGTACACCATACACGCAGTTTTTTCCTATGACGTAACAATTTTACGTAGGCACGCGCGTCATTGAAAACTTGTCATATGATTTCGTGAAACTTCCGTCGAAAAATAAATATCATTTTTCATCAGCAATAGCCTTTGGATGACAAAGGTAAGTTTGTTTTGTGTATTTTACATTTACTTTTATCATTTATGCCTTTTTACTTTCACTATAAGTGCCATAGTTAAATATAACTACGATTTTATGTTAAATATTTTTGGAAATAAACAGCAAACCAATATCACCAGTATCATGTTAGTAGTATTTGATTTTATTCTATTCCTAAAATAAACGATATATATATATTTATAAGAAAACGATGTTAATAAGACATATTTAATATGAAAACTTTGTATTTTCGACATTATATTGTTACTTTGAAATGAACAAATTTCACGATTTTTTAATCTACGGAAGACAAAACGGGACATAATTTACGTCGTGAATATGCATTATTTTATTATAACAATGTATTTTATTGTTCTGGTCGGGGACCATCAAACGAACACTTTTTGAACAATTTTCCGTACAAATTTCATAATTTCTAACCTAGAGACCTTAAAATTTGATACAGTTCAGCTAGGTTCTTCTCCTAACTTACAAACTGGTTTGTTTATTTCTGATTGTATTGACACTTATATCTGAGGCTCTACAAGGAGGGTATCAAAATTACCTAAATTGTCTACACTACAGTACCATGTGTCCAGACAGATATGTACATCACATGATTTAATTAAGATAAAAGCTTGGGGTGTTTTGATTTTAGATTTTTAACATGATATACAATATTTCAGCAACAAATGCTGAAGTTTTGGATATTCTATTGTTTACTCTGCAAATGATTATAGCTGGTATATGAGGTCAGGCAATGCTTTCTTGACCCCCAAATTTCAACGTCAACATTCTAGAAATAGACAATAAAAATATTACCATTTACGTAGGTTGAAATAAATTTATTTACTTAATTTTAGAAGAAACATGCATTTATTGTTGATGAAAAAGTGACTGACAACCACTGAACAAAGAAAATACTAAATAAAGCATTTTCGGGGCCGTCCGGGTTTGGTGGTTGTCTGGTTTTGGTGGTCCCAAACCAGTATATAAAACAATATTCAGATTTACATGTACATATATATAAATTTATATTTAGATATATATTTTGCATTATTAAACATGTAAATGTACATAAATAAAATCAATACTTAATTTCAGATAGGACATCCATGATTTACATTCATGATGATTATCTAATGTTCAGCTGTCTCTTGTATCAAGGTGAGTCATACTTTAAGTGTTATCTATGCACAATTTCTATCTATAATATATGAACAATGTTTGTTTTAACTTGTCCTTTTTTTAAATATGCTATTATGTGAAATGAACCACACCAGTAGCTCTTCATAGGAAATTTGCAAAATCGCTCCCGAGCTTTCATACTACATGATTGCCCGGAACATACAATACATTCCTTATATGTTCACCTTCCTCGGTCTGTTGTGATTGTATAACTTACTGATTTAATATTTTAAAAATGCAAAGTATAACATAGTACGGATATTTTTTGTTATTGCCTACATTTAACACCTATGGAAAGTAATGCCGAATATTCAAATTGGCATTGGCCAAATGACGTCACGCTTTATTAATCAAAGTGGAAAAATGAAATGAACGATTATGTCATTTGAGTATCGGTTCATGCAAAATATACTTGTTTCTTTTAAATACAAAGTTAATATGCTAATATAAATATATGCTAAATTCATACATGATTTCTCACAAAATATGTCTTTTATTTCTATAGATGATACAAGCCACATTACCAAACCATGCTGATGGAACAAACAACGATATGAAGGGCGTTGCATTTCGGTATGTTTATACTGACTACTGTATATTAAATAAATAAAAAACTCATGACAATTTCTCTGTAAATATACACATGCTTGCCATTAAGTTTTCGGACAAAGGTTTAATGTATGTTAAATGCAGGGAAATAACATAGGCTATTTAAGGTAGGCTGAAATAAATGCACATTTTATACTGAATATTTTTTTTTCCAGAAACCCGTTGTATATTTTGTTTTTACCAATGTCGGCTGGTTTATACATTCATCATGTTCCCATGTGTCGATATTGGTCTGAATAGTAAGAAAATTAATACACAAACATACATAAAATAACAATTACATATTTCATAAGTTATATACATGTTTATTCATATTTTATACTACATAATACTATTGTTACTGTGAAATAACGCATATACAAAATAATAATATATACAGCTCTGTAGATTTAAAATATGCTTTCAGATTCTACAACGTGCGTATTTTGTGCGCAGGATATCCAGAATTGGTCCCAATTGTCACTCTCAGAGAGAAGGGAAGCAACCGTGTTAACCATGCTAGCGATCTGAGTAATTCACGAACAATTACAGGCCAAATTGTGCACCAAGACTGTAGAAAGGATTTTATTCACAATAGAAACATTTCAAATAGTTCCAATGTTAAGTGTGACCAAGTTAAAAGACCTTTAAGATCAAATGCTAACTTTGCTTTTAAGTGTAATTGCTTGTTCTGTGGTAAGCCTGCTAAAGTTGCATCTGGTAAACGTAGATGTTCATCCTGGTAGAAGTTTTGATTGTCAGGAAACACATCCTCGGAACCCACGGTACACATTCCGTATATACTACATTTTATATTATTACCGATACATGTATACGGTAAATAGCCTGGGTTACCGAGGATGCAGGAAACAATACAACTCAAATGTTCTGAGAGAAACAATCTGTGGGGAAATGTTGTTTTAAACAGACTGTTGTCAGTTTTAGATTTTCGTCAGATTCGAAGAATGTATATTTCAGATAAGACAATGAAAACCCAAATAGTTTGGCATATATATTCAAAAGACACCAAAATGTGATTGGAATAGAGATTTGTTATCTCCTACCATTCCTGCACGCTTTCTATGGTTGCGACAGTTCTTAAAATAATGTGTAAAAATGAAGTGTTCCGGCAAAATGCTGCAATATTTCATTCGCCAACAAACAAAGAAGAAATTATTACAGGTGGTGAAAATGCCATGAGGATATTATATGATGGAGCTAGGGAGATAAATTTGAACAGACTGAGATTTCACAAATTTGTAAGTAAAACCATGTCAAGTTCATCTGTTATTCAAGTTCAAAGCATTCCGCCTACGTCTGATGCTGCGGCGCAACACTCTATACCGTCATATTTTCAAACACAAACATGGATTGGAAATGATAAATTAGATCCAACTGAATGGGGATAGGAACTTCTCGAAGGACTCTTGTACCCACAAAATCTACACAACCCGCTGCTCCAGATTTTCTTTTAAATATTATCAGATGCAATTGCAAAAAATGCCACTCTTAGAGATGTACCTGTCGCAAACATGACCTCGAATGTTCGGTTGGTTGTGGAGAATGTCATTGTATTAGCTGTTCAAACTGTCGGTCCATTTCAGATATTGATTTTGCAGACATGGAGGACTAGATCTTGTATCGACACAATGCTCTTAGAACTAAGTTGTCAATTTTTACCTGTTTTGTATTGAAATGTATTCATATTTTGTGTTATTATTGGCAATGTACATGCATCTGGCATCTTGTTTTTACATAAGCAATAGAGGTTTCACTTTAAGTTATTCATATAAAACTTTGCAGACAAATATGTTCTATATATTGAACAGTCTCACATTCCTCGCGAAGTAAATACAATGTAGCTTGTAATTAAAACAAAAGATTTATAATAATACTCTGTTTGCTTTCCATATGAAGTAGTTCTTTAGTATTGTAGTTATACTCTTTTATCCAGTGTCAAATTATACTAAAATTTATGCACAATACTTTACATTGGTGTCTATCACAAAACAATTAACTTGTACTAGCACCAAACTATGCGCTATAACATAAATGTAGTAAAATGTTTGAAACAGCTAACTCCAAATGTACAATAGTATTGTACATTTAGAGTTTGATTGTATATTGAATACATAATTATCAATGCTTTCTTATATTTGCTTGTGTTGCGACACACTGATTTTTCTCTAATTGTCAATGTCAAAGTTCACCTTAAATAAAAATGTATTACTATACTCTCTGAAATACAGAACGATAATTTCAAATTTATAGAAGTGGTCTTATATGTTGTAGACTGTTATGTGTTAGTACAAGCATGACAAAAATGTAGTTCTTGTGAATGAAACAGCCTGTATATTCGTGTTCTTTATATTTATTATCACTACATTGTTGCTTGCCAAATTAGGTAGCTCTTCGGTACATTTGTACATTTGTAATATAGTTTTATTCCGTGTGTAATGTCAAATTTCAACAAGTGACACTTAAATGTATATACTACAATTTCTCCATAGACCGGGCAAAGTATGTTTTATAATTGTAACTCGCTCTTAATTATACTTACTTGTTGTTGTTGTTCTTTTTTTGCTTGAAACAAACAAATTATTCAAAATGCGTTGGATGTTCAGAATGTTAGCTAAACAAAGTGTACCTGAATTATTCAACATTTATCTAAAAACACATGTATGTCCATTTTAATTCATATGAATACAGTTGACATAATTTACAAAGTACTTCTTCATGCATAAATATGTTATTATGTATTGTTTTTACTGTAAATATACATGGAATGGATGATTTGCTGCTTATATATCGGAATTTGACTGGTTAAAAATTTTAACATAAAGTGGGTGGGGTAATATGACACCAGTTTGTCATAGAATTGCCCACCAACAAATTTTTATTTATTTTAAATGCATAAATTTTTGTATCAACATGGACAAAAATTTGTTTGTATGAAGTTTGCATGTAATAAATATGTTTAACTTATATATAGAAGTGTTTTTTTTAGTATCATCGGAAATTAACAAATTACGCCGATTTTATAACTGAAATTTAAGGGTGTCAATTTGAAAGCTAGAATTATCACATTTCCCCTTCAGCAAAAGAGTGCAACTTTTTTCCTAATATCAAGCAGATATGGTACCATCATAAAATTCCAAAACAAAAACTTTTGCAATTAGTTCTAGGTTAGCTTGATTTTCGGGCTAATTTGACTAGACTATTAGATTTGAACATGGTTTATTACAGTATTACAGGCAGACCTGTGACTGTGTAATATGAACTGTATCAGTCATAAAGAAATATTATATGAGCCGCGTCATGACAAAACCAACATAATGGGTTTGCGACCAGCATGGATCCAGACCAGCCTGCCAATCCGCGCAGTCTGATAAGGATCCATGCTGTTCGCTATCAGTTTCTTTACTTGTTATAGGGTTTGTAAGATAACAGCATGACTCCTGATCAGACTGCGCGGATGCGCAGGCTAGTCTGGATCTATGCTGGTCGCAACCCCATTATGTTGGTTTTGTGGTGACGCGGCTCATATATATTTTTGTTTATCATTACAGGTAGACCTGTGTTCTATAAATTGTAAGAATAAATTTGGTACATTACATCATTTATCACAGGTGAGCCAACAACTTGCACATTTGCATTTCATGTCTTACAGTACCTGGTAAATATTGAACTATAATTATGCTAAATAAGGGAGGTAATTCAACACTTTGCCGGGGTTAACATGCAAAATAACAATCAGTTTTTATAAACAAAAGAACACATTAACATAGTAACTATGGAAGGCCCTAATTTACAATAATTACCTAAAACCTTTGCAAATGAAGGTGAAGTTATATAAACATATATTGTTTATATGAATTGCACAAGCATTGAAAACCCTACCGAAATTACCGAGTTGTTGTAAATATTTCATAACTATTACTTCTTTCATTTCAACACTGCACAATGAAAATTTATCTTGTTTAAATATTGTTTATCTTATATTATTATTAATATGTTGTATAAATCATAAATATGAATAAATATATCAACATGGTAATTTACTTACACTATATGATTCTGTTACAGAGATTTATTTTAAGTTACAGAGATTTATTTTATAATCAACATCAGTTTTTTAATGTCATAATGCATTATTTTTTGTCATTATTTCATACAAAAGTATTCTCTATACTTAAAACAGTAAATTATGTCTGCAATATAACCATTTCTATTTTAAGATGGAACAATATCATTTTTCATTCAGTATGACATTGTTAACCCAGTCCTGGCCATCAGTCAACACCCATACTCTTCTCAAATTAACAAAATAGTCCCTGAGAAGTAACTGTAGGAAATTTATTGGGCAATAATATAAAGACAAATGGCAATTATGATTAATGATATAGTCCTCAAGTTCTGGTAATCAAACAATAAATGTCTCTCATAATCAGAAAACAAGATTTCACGATCTATAAGCTGAAGGACTACTTTTTTGTTTAACTGTAACAGGAAAATTTTAGAAAACAACAAGGAAACAGATTGAGGAATTTCTTTATAATACTTGATGCTCAGCTGTTGTTTTTTCCCTTATATTGCAGATGTATTCCATGTTTACAGCATTTTCAGACGGAAGGACTGGATAAAAAACAACTTTGAAAAAAACGAATGCACCAAAAATGTTTTTGCTTTTTTCCTTGACAGCAACTGTGTAATGTAATCACTATGTTAATGATATAAAAATACATTATTACATAAAAAATATTAAACAATAATAGGTTGTTTTTTCCCCCCATTTTTCAAACAAAATCAGTTTTATATTCACCCCAACTTAATTTTTATGACATGCAGACCTTGCTTTTGCTTATATTAAAGTGTTAATTTCTAAAGATTACAAAATCATAACATTTAATTTGACTCTGACAATATAGAGGAAAGATTATGCAGACTTAGCCTGGCTATTTGTAGCATGGTTAAGCACACAGGAGAGTTTACTTGCAATTTCCAGTACCATCCATGAATAGGCTCAATCAAACCATTAGCCAGCAACATTTCAATTTTGTTGTTTTTGGGCATTCTTTGCTCTATTTTAACCCTTATGATGCTAAATATCTTAAATGAACTTGCCTGTCTTTCAATCTGGACAAAACCATCATTTTTTAAGAGAAAATTTCAAAATATATACTGGCTGAATAGTAAGCAGTGCAGACCATGATCAGGCCTGCACTAGTCACATGGGTAAATTCAATTACCACTAGCAGGCTAAGAGTTAAAACGGTATCTTAACTAATGCTCAAGCTACTTTATGTATGATAGGTTAGGGAAACTGAGAGCTAATTTTAGTAAAATTGACACTCTATAAACATGTTTTCCCTTAAAGAATTAAAAGCTCTGGCTAAGTTGCAGACTGTGTGAAGCTTGGATCAATCTGATTGCCCATGTACTATTTTCTATACTTATCTGTAGCATTTATTGCTAGTCAGTTTAAATAATGCTTAAATGGTTCTATCACATCAAGAGTGTATGATTACTAGTACCTGCCTTCAAAATAACATGCCCTCAAATCAAATAAATCAATTTTGTCTGCAAAATAAAGCTGTATTTCCATGCTGTGACATCTAAATTACTTCTGGTCATGCAACCAATGGTTTTTCTAGCACTGAACTCTTCAATCAATCCTTTTTTGATAGGAAGTCATGGAATATTCAAATTTTAACTTTGTCTATGAGGAGTGCTGTCACATCATTTACTTCAATTTCTCTTACAGCAGTCTACAGAATATAACAATATGTTTTTAACAGACCAGTATTTAATGTCTTCTGAAAAGTGGGCTAATACTGGCTTTTAACGGCAATATTCAATCTGTGGGACAGACAAACAAAATAAAACATGGCACTGATTTAAAGTAACGGGGCAACATTCTAGCCAGACTGCAAGGATGTGCTGTTGGGT